CTCTCTCTCTCTCTCTCTCTCTCTCTCTCTCTTGTCGCTGTGTGGGAAAAGAGGAAGAGGCAGAGGCAGAGGCAGAGACAGCAAAGGAAACGACATTCGTAACCTTTTGGTGGAGAGGTGCGTCAAGCAGCGGAGGCATCAGCGCCCACACGACGGCACGCACCAGCAACAACAACAACAAGAGAAAAAAGAATGAGGGGCGGCAGCAACAACGGCGGCTGAAAAACACACACACATACACACCAAGACATATATGTGAAGACAAGCGCACTGCCTCAGACATCTCAGGCAGAAGCTCCTCTGAGCAAAAACATGTTGGTAAACTGCATGACGGTCTCTTCTTCACTGCGTGCCCACACGCACACACTTCATTTCCCCTTTCTTCCATCGTTTTTTTTTTCATTTTTGCTTACGCTTTCGTTTGGCCTGCTCATCGCATATGCCTCGCACACAACGCCCCCTTTCCTTTCTCTTGCCCTGCTTCTCTTCTCTTCCATTTCACACATACACGCACAGTCTGTCTTTTTTCCTTCCTCCTCAACTTGCGGTTTGCCCTCCCTCCCACTCACCCACCTCCGGTCACTTCTACTCCGCCCGCCGTATCCTCTGGCACACACGAACACGTTTTTGTTTTGTTTTTGTTTTTGGGAGGGAGGGAGGAGGGCAAAATACAAATATGAATAAAGCCACACGCAGGCGTAATAAATAAAGCAAAGGTGTACATTCATATATCCTTTTTCTCCCCCGTTGCTTTTTCATATCCTTTCTTCTTCTTCTTCTTCCGTTCTTGTCCTTGCCTTAATATCGTCTCTCTCGTGCTTCCGTCCTGGGTACCTGGAGGCAACGTCAAAAGTTGCGGAACCGGTAGCGGATCACAGGGATGTCCACGTCGACGTCGCCCATGCTGCCAGTTGCGATCAGGCAGCAGTGGTCCTCGCCGTCCTGCAGCTGCTCCCCCCGCTCCTGCACGACAACGGAGACTGGCCTGCCACGGTCCTTTGTGTTGCCGAATTGGGAGTAAATCATCTTGCCGCTAGCAAGGGCAATGATGAACAGTTCCACCTGGTAGCGGCTCTCAAGCACCGCAACAAGCTCCTGCACCGTCAGGTCGCGTCCCTCGTTAACGTCAATGCGGTCCCAAATTCCCCATCGAACGGATTGACCATCCGGCATCACGTACGATGCGCCGGGGGCCATGATGGGGTCAGAAAAGGCTATGAACGGCAAAGCAATGTTTACAAAGGCGTTGCGGTAGATACTAAGCTGTTCCTGTACCTCCTTATGTGTGGGCGGTGCATTGACCGGCATACCACTCTTCTCTTGACGTTGGGAAAAAAGCAAACGCTTGAGAACCTCCAACCCCACGAGGCCTGTGACGAGTGCGGTGGTTGTCAACATTGCCGGAATAATGTTCCCTGCAATGCGCCTGGTGTGGTGCACACTCGCGGGCGGAATGTTGTACGCGACGGCACGCATGTTCGAACAGGCCGTAATGTATTCCACATGGTGGTTTGTGGGGTCATCCTTCTCAAACTGCAGTGGGATCATGCGACGCCCGTGAAAGTTGCTCACCGGCGGCAGGTCTTGCAAGCGGACGTCGGCGGCCAGGTGTGCCACGGACTCCTCCTTTTCCGCCTCACTGGTGGCGAAGATGGCTTGGCGCGGCACAAACTCCGGCACCGCGGTCTCCCGCGCCATCCGCATCACCTCCTCGCTCGAGAGTGTGAATTGTGGCAGACCGTATACACATGCAAGTAGGTAAGCGCAGTGGTACACAAATGACATGCTCAACTCGGAATCTGGCAAGAATTCCTGCGGGGTGGGCGGTTTTTTTGCACCGCTCCAGAACATTTCCCCATTCTCGTTGCGTTTGTCAACCGGGATGTTGTAAAGCAGCTGCCGAAAGGCGTCATTAAAGTACTCATGGTATAACGCTCGCGCGATACGCACACAGTCCGCAGCGTCGTTCGGCCACCGCACCAGCGCATCCCGAACCGCCTTCAATGCCAGTGCTTTGGTGGCAGGATCACGCTCGAGTTCCGCCGCAAATGCTGCGGGGTCCTGCAAGTACGCATTGACCTCCTCGGCCGTACTGGTGAAAAGCACCTGAAAGTTGTCCCGTGCCCACTGAATCGTGTGCTCAATAGCGTTGGGGAAGTTCTTCAAGGTGCAGAGCGGAATGGACTTCTCTGGCGGGTCATGGCTGCTGCTGTAGCTCTCCGTACAGTAGGGGATGATGCACTGCACGTTGCACTTGGTTCCCAGCGTGCCACTCTCAAAAAGAGCCTTTTTGTAGAAGAGGCAACGGCTATCCACGTACTTGCGACTCTCCACATTGTCAAGTGCATTCAGTACAAGGGCGTGCGAGTCCCAGAATTTTTCATTAAAAATGCCCTCCGTCTCGGGTGACACCTTTTCCACAAAGGATGTCACCTGCAGGTCATGGTTGATGGCCCTGGCCGCCTCCCCCGCCACTTTTGATTTGTGCTGCCCAATGTGACTGTTACGAAACAAAAACTGACGCGAGAGGTTACTCATCTCAATATCGTCCATGTCCGTGATGGAGATGCCACCAAGCCCTATGCATGCGGCATTCTTGATGAGTTCGCAACCCAGCGCCCCAGCACCAACGATGAAGACCCGTTGCTTCGCTAAGTACGACTGAAACTCGGCTCCAAGAACGGCAATCTGTTGGTCGTAGCGACTTCCAGTCGGGGAAGAGGGGCGAAGATCCGCCTCCGTTACCTCGCCGCGAGCCAGAAGCAATTCCCTTGCATCGTAGTACAGCCATTGCTGGATGGGTGTAAACTTCCCACTGCACACTTTTAGAACCTCCTGTGACGCGAGGCCGCCAATAAAGCAGGTCATCGGGTTAAGATTGCCATGAATCACAGAAAGGACAGACTTGGCGGCTGCCACGTCAAGGCAGCCACTGCTGAAGGTGTTGTAGTACACCTCAGCCGCATTCAACACGGCGTTCACCTCTGCAGGGGTCGATGGCAGTGTGCCGTGGTCGTGCAAGGCACGAAAGACGGCGTGCAGCGTGGCTGGGGCATTCACTTTCTGCTCACTATCAAAGACGTCAACAAACGCCGGATCGGCGACACTCTGCTCCAGGTCCTTAAATCCCATGAGTACATGTCGCTTGGTTGTGTGGAGGTAGGCGGCGGTGCCGACTTTAATAGCGTTATCGCCTACCTCTGCCTCAAAATTTTTCAGCCGCAGGATGTATGGGGAGATGACCTCCGCCACCTCGAACAGTTTCAGCGACGAGGTGGCAGTACTTTGGGAGCGACCATGAATGTTGGATGGGTCAATGTCCGCGTTCACCGCAGCAGGCGACAGGACACCTGTAAAAAAAATATGGCTCCCCACCTCGCACTCATGATTCTTGTCCTCATGCAGCGAGACCACGCCGTCACGCGAGATGCTTGTGACGATGCAGGAAACGGTATCCTCGCCATCGGGGTCTAACACGCTAAAGGACGGTCCCGCGTCTACAAAGACACACCCCGCAACACCCCGGCTTTCACACGCCACAAACTTTACATCATGCCTCCGTGCGAGGGCGTTTTCGCCGACAAGCGCCGTTGTGCGTTGGTTCGCAAAAACCACCACATGAACGGTGGGGATCACCTCATGCAGCGGACGCGTCACGGCGGTGACGCTGACGAAGCGGTTCAGCTCCTGCGCCCGCATCGCCACCACATCTGCCCGCGACTTGCCGATGTCTTGCGGGGTCAAAAAGAAGTTTGTGCCCAAGTCCTGCAGGGTCGCGGCGCCGCCGTCCATGATTTGAACTGAGCGAACCCCCGTGAGTACGAGGTTCTTCACAAGCTCCGCCCCCAGCCCACAGACCCCCACGACGAGGACGTCGGTGCTGCCGTACTTTGCCTGCGTCTCGACGCCCACAACATACTCCTGTCGGTTGTACAGCTGACGCTTCTCATCCTCGTGCATCATCCTCCCCGCGCTGTTATGTTTTCTTTCTCCTCCTGTTTTCAATTCTCCTCTTTCTCGCTCTCCTTCTGCTTCTGCTTCACTTCCTTGATGTTGTTGGTTTTTTTTTGTTTTTCCAGCCCCCAAACTGACTCCGCGATGCAAGTCACCCCGCGAGGTGTCGCGGATAAACCGGGAAAAGCAAAGTAAGAGGAGGAGGAAGATAAAAAGTGGGGAGAAGAGAAAAAAAAAAAAGGAAACCGCCAAGGTTAGCCTTCACAAAACGCCGTCTATATATCTCTCACTCTCGTTATCTCACTTTCCCACCCAGGTGTTTTCCACGCCTACTTCCTTAGTCCCACTACCACCACCCCCAACTCTTTTTTTTTTTCCTCCCATGACGTATTTGTTGCTGTTCTTGCTGCTGCTGGTGCTGCAGTGCAATGCAACGTAGGCGTCCCCCAAACACATTTGGGGTCATACACACACACACACACACATGCATGCAAAGGAATAAGAGAGGAGGACGCAAGGAAGCAAAAACAAAAAAAAAGGTGGGGGTGGGGGTAAGTAACATAACACAGCGAATACGCATGCCTCTCTGCGTGGACAGCACGTAACATCGCTCGCTCGCGTTTTGTTGAAGGCACGAGAATACACGCCGCCCCACGTGGGGGCGTCTCCCACCAGCACCACCTACGACGCGATGTAACGTTTTCCGTCCCACTACCCACAGCAGAAATAAAAACATGGAAAGAAGCATGTATAGACACATAAACACAAACACACCGACTATTCGCCTACACTATCTTCATCTTTCTCTCCTCCCTCTTTTTCGCCTCCTCTCACCGGCGCCTGGCGAGGTGAGCGGGGGCGGCGGCGTCCGCTCACGCCTCATTTTGTTCGTCTCCCACCCACTCACCCCCTTCACTCTCCCTAACACAGATACGCACGGGGTCGCCAAAGGCGGCACGGCGGAAGCGGAGGCGCACGCACACCACAGAAGCGAGAAAGCAAAAAAGGAAAATGTGCCGCCACCGTCTGTACTAACGCGGCAAAAGGAACCCAACACCGCCACCACCACGCGGGCGAGTGGCACAAAACCCAAACCGCGTCGAAAAAAAAAAGAAATTCTATATATCAATAGACAGTGTCTAAGCTCAACTCGCCAGGGAGAGAAAAAAAAATGGTGGACAAGTGAGCGAGAGGAAGCAAAGGGAAATCACAACAAGACGAGTTAACCCCCCCCCCCCCCCACACACCACCACCACCACCAAAAAAAAAAAGAAAAAATCAGCGGTGAAAAAAAAAAAAAATTAACGACAGAAACCAATACAACGACAATAACAACTCACAATCACGACATCGATGGTGGTGAGTGGGTAGTATTATATGCGTGTTTGTATAAATGGATAACAATCTTACAGACGACGGATGAGGGAAACGTGCCATTGGAGAGTCACTTTCAGCGTAGTACTCCATATACATAAATCCATACACGTACACACGTACACACACACAGAGAGAGAGAGAGAAAGAAGTGTGTGTACAGGCGGGTGGGTGGCTTATGCAACACAACTCGCGCAACCGCCTGTCGGGTTCCTGTTACTTGTGTGTTCCCCCACTTTCCTCCTCCCCGCCATTTGCCTCATTACGAATACTTCTTATATCTCACCATATTCCCATAAACTATACTCCACTCTCCTCGTTTCCCTTTTTTCTTTTTTCCCCCAATTTGTCTTTACCACATCTGCACTCCATCCCATGTGTGCTTTTGTTTTTGTTCTTTGCATTTTTTTTTTCCTTTTCTTTTCCCCTCCAGCCGTGAAGAGCGGGGGCCAGGCAAGACTCTCTCTATATGTACCTACTCACCCACTCCAGCGTGCCCAGGCCACTCCACTCCTCACTTTCCCCCCCGCTTCCTCAATGTCCTCCGCAGCTCTTCCTTTCGCAGTCGCAGCTCGTCTAATTTGCGCCGCAGTTCGGTGCGTTCACGTTGCAGTTCCACAGCATCCTTTTTGTCCTGCGCCACCCTCTCGCTCCAGTCGGGCCGCTTGCTTTCCTTGATTTTCGCCTCCATCATGTTCGCCTTCTTATTGGCCTCCTCAACGTCACGCCGGAAGACGTCAATGCGGTCCCGTGGCGTGAGTTCTTTGAACTGCACATCCGCGGGCCCTTTCTGGGCAAGCTCCTCTGCATGTACCTCGTCCAGCGCGGCCTTGTACTGCGCCTCCAGCGCGGCGAACAGGTCCGCATCTTCCTCGGTTTTGCTCTCCTTTTTTGCGATCATCATACTCAGTTCCTCCTCACGTTTTCGCTCCTCTTCTAGCCTTTGTTGCAGCTTTTCCCGATCCTCCTTCAACGTAGACTGATGAACACAGACAACTTCCAATTCCTTCTGCCTCGCCTGAAGCTGACTAGCAACCTTCTCCTGCTGCGCCTTCAGTAGCTTCAGCTTTTTCTGCCACACAACACGTTGCAGGGCACGCAGCACGGTGATGGCTTTAAACTTTTGAAGTAACGTACTCAACACATCCTTGTTTTTCGCTGTCTGACGCGCCATGCTTCGGGACTCCCGCTCTAGTCGCTCGGCAAGCTCTTGTTTTTGCCGCAGCGCCTCCCGCAGGGAGTCCATGTTCTGCCGTTGAATGCGCACTGTGTTGTGCAATTCCCCCGCCTTGCTCGCCATGCCGTCCGCCACCGTCGTCTGAGCATCATTCACCTTCACCAGCGTCACGAGATTGCGGGCTTTGCTACTCCACTGCAGCGTTGCGAGCGTGTCACCGTAGTTCTTCACAAGTGGACTGATAGTCGCCACCATCGTGGTGCGGGCGTTGCCCCCGATACTGTCACTTAGCAGCCACGTCAGCACGCTATCACGGAAGGGGACTTGCGGCAAGGTGCGCTCTTGGTAGTACGCCCCCGTAATTTCTGCCTTAGCTTGTTCCATGAGAATATTTTGCCGCTCCGTTAAGTTGTCAATCACGCGACGAAGCGCAAGCAACGATATGTTAATTGCTGCTGACTCCTTCACGTATTCCTGAAATCCACCCCGCTCCGACCCTGCAAGGTCAACCAGATTGATGCGTCCTGCCTGGTAGCGCACTGCAGGCCGTGAGTAGCGGTCCTTCGCCGGCAGTGTCCGCTCCTGAATGACCGTCAGCTGAAAGATGGCGTGACTGCGACTGGACTGATTGTGTACAGCCGTGGCACACGTCGTTCGATGCAAGGAGCCACGCTCCAGCAGCAGACAACACTGGGCCCAGTTTTCTACTTGGTACTTTGTCACCCCCTCCACGAAGGGGCCACTGTACGGGTCCTGACGAATGCGGGCGTCCTGCAGCTTTTCATTACCCTTCGTGTTCTTCAGCGCGGGGTCCAGCAGGTCCCTCACACGCTCCATGTAAATTTCCACAAAACTCACTTCGACGCGAAATCGCACACGTTCGTTCGTGTCTGCTTTCTTCCCTTCCTCCGCCTGTTTACCGGCAAGAATCAAAAACAAATCATTTGAAACGCGTGGGATGATGCCTTCCTCCCCGTCCCCACCACACGACGCATTGGGGTCGTAGATACCCATCATGGTGTACGTCTTGCCGCTACCGGTCTGCCCATATGTCAGAATGCAGCTGTTGAACCCATCAAACACGTGCGGAACGAGGTCCTTTCCAATAAGTTCATAGACGTCCTTTTGCGTCGCGTAGGTGCTGCGCTTCGTGTCGTAAAATGTGTGTACAATGCGATGCTCCGGCGGGATCGACCAGAGGCTGGCGTCAAACTCAAACTGGGCCTTGGGCGCCCACCCCTCCTTTGGGTCTAGGATCACCGTCTTGTTGTCTGTCATCTCCACCACCGACCGGCGCTCCTGCCCCTGCATCTCGACAAGCTCTTCTGTGATGAAGGGGCGCACGCGGGAGAAGACCTTGAATCGAGTAATCTCCGTCACACGTGAGCGGAAGGCGTCTGAGGCCTCATTGGCGTCGTCCATCACGATGTTTCGCCCATTGAGCTGCGCATCCGGAGCATTCTTCACCTCACGCTGCAGTGGCCGCCGCGGCGTTGGTGAGTGAGGCGCCGCCGCCGCCACCTTCTTCCTCGGAGATGTGCCATTCTTTCGAATGGGCCTTGAAATGAGTTTGGGCTCACTGAGCTTCGGTTGATTTGGCTCCATTTTTTTTTTTTTTGTTGTGTATGTATGTGTGTGTGTGTTTTTCCCCCTTTTTGTTTCCTTTTCGGTATTTTTTCCCCTTCTGATTCCCTCCCTTGTGCACCCTAATTACCTACTCCGCTTGTGCTGTTTCCTCGGCTTCCTGTTCTCTTTCACTTCCACATGGCGAGAGAGGAGAGAAAGAGAGAAAAGTGTGCGGGGGCAAAGATGTCAGCGGACCGTTGGCCGCCCACCGGAAACGCTTACCACCCTCTTCGCACTCAACCACGTGGACTCATCCACGCGCAAGACCCGTGTGTGGTTCCCAAGAAAGTGTCATCTTCACTTCAGGTAACTCTACATAAATGGCACGGGGTAGGGTGGGGAGAAAAGCCAAAAAATTCAATCCACACAGACACACAGGCACACTTCCACTCTCACTTCTACGCCACTACTTCTTCTTCTTTTTGGGCGGCGCAGCATCCACCGCAAAGTCAACCTCTACGTCATCGGTGTTCTGAATGGTGCGTACAGCCTCGGCACGAACACAGGCTGTGACCTCAAGCAGCGGTAACGCACACGCCGCCTCCATAGTGTACCGAAAAGACTCCAACATTGAGCAAAACGTATCAACGGCGTCGCCGACAAGCCGCCGCATTCCAGCAAAAAGATAGATGCTGTACTCCTCCTTGAGAGAAGCCTCCGCCAAGGAGTCTCCAGATGCGTTTGCGTCGTTGTGCGCTGGCGATTTTTCCGTGTTTCCTAGGCGAGTGGGACTGGGGTCAGCCGATGCCGTCCCTTTTCCTTTGTTGGGTGCCCTGCCCTGCGGCTTGCTGCCCCCTCCCCCCGACGATCCAGTGCTGCTGCTGCCGCCAACCCCCTTGCGCCCCACTGCAGCACCACCACCACCCGCATTATTGTTTCCGCGAGCACCAGTCTGGGGGTGTGCCCCGTTCCGCGCCCCGTGAGGCTCACGCAGTCCGAGGCTGAGCAAGACGGTGTCGTCCAACTCGCCCGTTTGTTGCGCCAGGGCTGAGAAGGCCACCATCCCAGCGACGCGTTGCAAGAGGAGATCAAGCGGTTCATCGTCCAGCTCGCACACGGTCGCCGCGCGCAGAAGAATGTTTAACCCCTCCCGCAGCACATTACGCGACACGGCGTCACGTAGCTTGCAAAGGTCACTCTGCAACGTTTGCACAGATCCATCCCACTCTTCATGGTGAAGTGGTTGTTCCAGTGCCAACATCGTTTGGACGAGATTTTGGTGTAGAGCATTCAACCGCTCGTAAACATCAATGTTGAATGGAAGGCGCAGAGCGAGATACGTTGTACTGTTCCATGCCTTGCGCCACTTTGCAACCAACGCCTCTCGAGCTCCTTGAGACACCTTGGCGGCGTCCAGGCACGCCTGCGTCGCCCTTGCAATTTCAGCAGCCTCATACACATTGGTATTTGCTGCCATTGCGTTAATGACCTCACGCTGCGCATCCACAACGGCCTTGGCGTCGAGTGCAGCTGCAACAGGACGAAAAACGGTCTCAAACGAGTGCCCACCGTCTTGGATAATGGCACACAGTTCCACTACAACACGGGAGGCGGCGACAGGGATCATAAGCAGCTCATAATGCTGCAAAAAACGTCCCGGAAATGCCGCCCGCACAGAAAAGGAAAACGTCTTCTCGTCATCGGGTAGAATGACACCATCCAGCTGCTCAGAGAGGAAAAAGAAGGATTTGGACTGCGCCAACTTCTTCGCCAGGGAGCGAAGAGGAACGTTCATTTGGTGTGGCGTCCCTTTCACCATTTGCCTGGAACTTGCAGGGGACTGCTGGTCACTGCTCGTGTGAAGCGCCGCCGCCTCATCTGTTGCCTCTTCAACAGTGCCATCGCTGCCTTGCTTCTTCGTAGTCTCCTCCTTCTCACCGTTAACAACGTCCGTATCTCTTTCACCGTCCAGGGCGGTGACTGGTTGGAATGGTGCCCAGCTGTAATAGACCGTCGTCGTGCCGTTGTTCTTGATCTGCACGGAGCCGTGGGCGAGCTCCCCCGGCCGGGCAAAGAAAAGTATACGTGAAGTGGAGATCTCCAACGAGGGAGCCCCTGCAGCGTCCTCCTCCATGGGCACTGTCGTTGCATTGATGTCTTTGCTCCCAATCATAGTTTCCGTTTTCCCCACACTGGGGGGGCCGTTTTCATCCATACCATCCTGATCTTCTTGATCCTTTTGCTGCTGCTGTTCCTGCCCCCCTTTAGGTTGCAGTGGCGGCACGTGCACGACGGCCGGCACGGACCTCTTCGCCGCCGCTGCAGCATCCTCTGGGTTAGTCGTCCATGGGGGTGGCTGACCACGCACCTCTAAATAGGCCCGCGGCAACAATAGGTGAGGCATATTCTTTTCAATCAACGGGAAGTACTGCTGAAACCGCTGCTTGTAGTAATCCGAGTTACAGAATAGGACTGGGACAGCAGCTGTGGATGGCCGCTGCTGCAGCCCGGTACTCGCCGCCTCGCTTAAGATGTGTTCACCGGGGAAGACGACGCGGGTGTTTGACTGGTGCTCCACGCTCAGCCGCCACTGATCTGTTATCTTCCCGTACAACACGTAGGGGAAGTTCGTTTGGCCCACCTTAAGATACCGAATGACTTCGGTATCTCCGGTGGTGCGCAGGGTACTTTCCCATGTGTGAGGGCCGGAGAAGGCGGCGGTGGGAGCGACTTTGGTGATCATCCCAATCTCCTCTTCACGTATACGCGCCCGGTAAGCCCCCTGGAGCATGTTCATGCCGGCTCCATTTATCGTGTTGTTGTTTTCGACGCGGCGACGAATATTTTCCTGCACAGTGGCCCACACACGTTTTTGTTTTTCCCACTCCCGCATCGCTTTCCCCTGTAGATCACGTTCATCGTATTTATTAAAAGTGACGGCGTGCTGCGGAGCATCCCCCGCGCGCGTCGTCGCGGGTTGAGCCATTACCTGCCAACTGGATGCTTCCTACATCGTCGCAAAAAAAAAAAATGTGAAGAAGCGGAAGAGAGGAGAGGTGGTGACCGCGGCGTCCCAAGACTGAGGCCCCAGCTCACGCGCAGCACGAATAACATGACAACGATGCAGCCCACCCGTGCGGGCAACCTCCTTTGCATCGACACAAGCGCACATGTATGCATAGAACGGGAAAGAAGCAGTGTGTGTGTGCGAGAGAGAGAGATAGAAGAAAAAAAAAAAAACAACATGACGCGGGCAACGCCACTGTCGCTGACATCCAACTCCCTCTCCCGTCCTTATCTCTACTCTTTCTCTCTCTCTCCTTTCGTTACCCGTGCCTCCGAGCCGCTCCCAACTTTTGTTCCCATCCCTCTTCTCTTCGTTTTATTCCCCTCCTCTTAAGCGATTCTCTATTGTGGTGTCCCACGATGACGGCGCACCACCCTCGACGCAGTGCCCAACAGCCTCGTAGAGGTCCAATATGTTCCCCGAGTGAACCGCCCGCTCATTTTCTGCAATGATTTGCAGTACCGGTCGCGACCGTGCGATATGGTGCTGAATAAACCGAAGACACATGTGAATCGTAGGGTACACGTGCAGGTAGAGGTCATTCAACACGCAGCGCCGCTGCAGCGCTCGTGTCGGACACAGCTGAAGCTGCTCACCGAGCCGCTTCGTGTGCTCCGCCACTGCAAGCAGCGCCTCCGCCAGCTCCGCGACGATGTTATCGTAGGAGACGCAGAACAAAACGACGTCGGGCCGCTGCACCTCCTCCACTCCCCAACACCGTGTGGATTCCACCTTTTGCGGCGGCGCCCACGGATTCGGGGCCTTACCCCCGCGGTTCAACGAACGCGTTGAGGCCAAACGACACGCCCCAGCACCGGTAGCGTCTCTCTTCGCGGAGGCGTGCTTGTAGTGGTGCGCCAGCCGCAGAATCACACGGATGCAGTCTAGGTAAAACATGCCGCCCATCTCCTCAGCTCGCTGCACTACACCCAACTGAGGCACAGACATCGTTTTCGTCATCGCCGTCGTGTTGGTGTTGATGTCGGCAGTGAGAGCGCGATGGTCGTATGGATTTTGACGCGCTCCACACGAGTTTGGTATGCGGCGCAGCGCTGTTGCAGCCCCTAACAGACGCCGCTGCGCTACTGAGCCAAAAGATTTCACCGTTCCGCGTGCACTACCGTGGAACAGGCGAGTCAGCGAGCGAAGCATGAAGCGGCGCCAGTGTGCCCCAGTGCAGAGTGAATAAACCCCGTCAGAGTCATTCACGTGCCGCTGCCTCTCCGTCACCTCGTCACTGACGTCATCCTCAGTCTCTGTGGCGGATTCCATCAGGTGCCTGTCTGATGGGAAATGCTGACTCGTGTTTGCATTGCGGTGCGGCAGCGTCACGGTGGGGTACCCATCAAAGTAGGAGTCCTCGACACCAGCAAAAACAGCTACGACACGCTTCTGCACCTCCTCCTGCGTCACGGGCGAAAGACGGTGAAGAATTACCCGACGCATTGCTGCACGCAATGCTTTTTTTACCAGCCCGTGACAAATTCCTAGTGCGCAGGTGACTTCTATGAGCAGCTGACGCGACGTATTGCCCTCAGTAGTGTTTTCATCAGGGTCAAACACGTTTTTTTCGTGCGACAATGATTTGCGCTGCTTCTGCTTCTGCTTCTGCTGTTGCGGCGGTGGTGGTGGTGGTGACAATGGGGTTGTTGCCAGTGATTGTACAAGGGAGAAGAGAGCGTTGGGATTCGAAACCAAAAAAGATCCCGCAGCAGCGGGGGCAACAAGAGAAAACCACCTCCAGCAGAGTGCCGCCTTTACCGCGTATTGCCCCATATTTGATGACCACAGTAACATGCTGGAAAGCTGCTCGCCAACCCGTGTCTTGAGAAGCATGTCTGACATGAACCCGACGCAGTTACTTGTTTGCTGCTCCATGATTGTGGCAAGCCACTGGCAGGCAATAGTAACAAATTCCCCCCACTGACTACGCAGAAGTTCCTCCATCACTTGAGGTACGGTAGGAGCTTCTTGCAAAATTGCGAAGGCAGCCGAATTTCCTGCCAGGCGAACCGCAAATCGCAAAAACAAACACAACGCCGTCATCGTCGCGTTGGGCTGTGACACACCAGCCCCACCACGCACACCAGTTCTAATGTAGTGCAGAACACTGTGGTAGGCCCGATAGGCCACCAGCACCTCCGCCGCACCCTCCACACTACTCAGGGTAAGCAAAATATTGGCCACATCACAGGCCTGCGTTGGGGTGGCCTGAGTGAGGCAGCAGAGAAGGGCCTGAATGAGTTTGGGGTGCGTGAGCACCGCAGCCGCAGTTGGTGCAGACAAAGTTACAATCATGAGGAGGAACTCCAACGCCCCGCCTACGATGGAGCTTCGTGTCTCCGTAAGCGTGGCGTCACGCATTCGTCCCGGCGTCTTCGTCGACTTGCCTCTATTCATCTCCATCACGACATCCTCCGCGGTGGGGGCGTCATCGTCAAGCGCGACCGAGAGCGTCACCCCCAGTGCGTGCAGTGCATTGTGCTCCACAGTCAGGAAGTCGTGCACCAATACCGCTGCCGCCTTTTTGCCCCACACCGTGGTGAGTGAGCCAACGATCGCCTGCATCGCCCCAAGGGCAATCACCTGCGTCCGCTCACTTGGGATGGGCGCCACAGCGAAGGCCAAGACATACGGCAACACCCCCTCCACATCGGACAAGATGGTGGTTTTGTTTTCCGGCAGGGACTCCAACACTCTTAGCAGGTCACGCTCAGCCGTGGCGGGAATGACCCCAAGCTGAATATTTTGCTGCAGGAGAGTCCATTGCGCCTGCAGTGCGAGCGCCAGAGGCGTCGGGCGTGCGGTGGGGGTGGAACTCATCGGCTTGTGTCGGCGCTCTGCGGTTGACGGTGACGCTGGGCTGGTGGGGCGACGGTGATGCCGCTTCTGCGGCGTCACAGAGGACGATGCCCCGACAGTTGCCATTCCGCCGTCCGCGGCAACACTCTGCGTCCTCCTGCCAGAAATGCTGAGGTAACGCACGCAACAATCACCTCTCCCTTTCCGCCTCCCCTCCTGTGGGACGAGCAGACACTCCCAGCAGTGCAGCCACCGCCTCCTACTCTTCTTCCCTTGCCGGTGTGTTCCCGTGACGCTTCACGCGCCCAGCACAGGTGCCCGTGTGATATCGACGTTCAATACCCCCACCAGTTGTTTCCTTCCCCCGCTGCGCGCTGTCGTGGTCGTCGTGGTGGTAGTGGTAGTGGTAGTGGTGGGGAAGAGAAGAGTTGTGGCAAGAAAATAAAAAGGAAGCAAATCATCCACGCAGCAGGAACAGAAGAACAATCGCGTGGAATGCGGAGTGTGCGTGGGCGCATAACATACAAATATACACATGCATACAAAAAAGAGAGATGATGATGCATCACTACTGATTTTCCAGTCGACGTTTGACACTGTTCTTCTTCTTTTGTTTCAAGGCAACGCGGTTGGGTACTTAGAGAGCACTTCTCTGCAGGAGCGGCGCCTCCTCGCGGTGGCGGCGGTAACCCATCCTGTCGCTGTTGTCACCCCCATCACCAGCAGTGTCTTCTACAGCGACAGTAGTGGCTGGAAGAAACTCGCCTCGATGCTCCTTCCGTGCTTTCTTTCCAGATAGATGTGTAAGGCCAAGAGCCACCCACAACACAGTGGACAGAATAACGTAAAAAATGGCGGCGTTGCGGCAGCATGCGGACTTCTCTTCCAGTGACCATCCCTCCTTTGCTGCAAGAACTTCAAAAGTCCAGTTCCTGTGTTGCATGAAGGCGGAAAGTGTGAAGAGGATGACCCCCGCCGTGAGAGTAAAGGGAGCACAGCAGCTAAGAAGGGGCAATGCCATCATCCATGCCGCAGACGTGACCTTCCTCTTGTCGCTCAGAAGAAGGTATCAGGGACGCGCATAGCCATCAAGAGTAGGGCCGAGAGGGAAGACAAGGAGGAAGCGAACAAGACGATACGACACTGGATTCCCGCAAGCAAGAGTCGTTGGTGGTCCTGCACACAAGAGAAGGGAGATGTGCCATTGAAGTGGAAACGCGCCCACACACACATTGTGAGAGAGGGAGCAAGAAAGAGGCAGTGACGGTGACTTGGCCTTGCGGTAGGCTTACTAGCAACAATGTCACCCCACCCCTGCGGCGCATTTGGTGGTGGCAACGGGAGGCAATTTCCCATTTCAGCTCAAAAAAACAAAACAAAAAAAACAACAACAACAGCTGCTTTCCGTCTCGCTTCCCACCACCAACGCCGCCACCACCGTCGCACTCGCCAAGAATTATAGCACCAAAACCACAAAAAAAACAATAACAAGACTTAATTTCCCTGCGGGACAATAAGCGCACTGTCGTAGTATTTTTGCTCAGTCGTGTGCCGGCCCAGAAAAACACTGCGAACATACGGCGGTAAGAACAACGACGACTATGCTCGGGACAACCGCGTCACAGCAACGCCCAAGAACAATAGTGGATTTACCGAGTCAGCACATGTGCACTTCTGTCCAACTGGCTCTCACCAAAGGCGAGAAGAGGCGGTGCCCGTTATGGGAGGCGGAGCGCTGTTGAGTACGCGCAGATCTCCCTCCGCTGGTGTCTGCTGGAGCAATGAGCAGGTACGGCAAGGCGTGGTCGGTGAAAGGGAATAAAAACATCCATGCCCACAAAAGCCACCACCGCCTCCTCTGCTGTCGATTGACCGCCGCCTCCCCCTCTTTAGCCTTTTCTTGTCTGTACACTTATGCATATATATACATGTATACATCATATATGCACATGTTTGTGGCCACGCTTCGGACGGTTGCTGACTCCCAGCGGGCTGACTGTACGGGTCGCAGCAAACAGAGGCGGTCCCCCCCCCCACTCCCTTCAATGCAGCTGGAGGAAATAATGAGTGCGACGACATACGACGCACCACAAAAATAAAAAAATAACAACATTGAAGAAAAGAAGGTGGCAGCGATGAGCGTAGCATGGCTGTGGCAGGTCGTTGCCTTTCCGGCACCACCCACCAGACAGAAAGAGAGACGTTGCACACACAATTCACTTTCAGCCCTGAACGTCGCAGTGTGGAGGGCTTTTTTTTTGTTGTTGTTGTATCTGGATTTCTTCTTGTTTCTTAACCGTCTAAAGTTTTTTTTTTTGTTTCTCGTTATTAACCACCATCGCTGTAAATTACCGTGCCAGCACCACATATACACGCACGCACAGAAATAGAGAAAGAAGGAAAGAAAGAAGGAAATAAAAAAAATCAAACTTCATCTCCTTTGCTCGAACAGGAGGCGTCAGCAACGCTGCCCTCACCTCCGTATTGACCTCTCCCTCTCCCTCTCCCTCTCACACACTTTCTGTTTCCCTCACTAGATTAACCGCCGCAGAGCCGCATTCTGCCTCACTTTCAAAGACGACGACCCCGTGGCGATATCCTGCCCCTCTGCATTGGAGTTTTGCCTCTGAATCCGCAGCGCACGGACGTCATCGGCAAACTCGGCCTCCTCGCGCCGACGCTTCTTGAGTTGGCTCTGCGCCCGTTTCAGCTCACCCTCCTCCTCGCCGTCCTCCTCCTCGTCCTTGCCACGACGACTGGCGCGCTGGAGTTTTGCTCGCCGCTGCTGCGCAATCCTGGAGGTGCGCATAGTTTGCTTTGAACGCACCTTGTCTGAGCTGTCCTTCTTGTCCCACTTCTGCATCTTCCGCTCCTTCAGCTTCTCCTTCCTGGTCTTGAGCTCCCGCGTGGCGGGACGCTCCTTGTAGCCAAGGTCCTCATCCACCTCCTCCTCGTCGCCCACTTGCAGCCCTGTCGGGGCGGCGTCCGCAAGAGACTTGTCCGCCCGACGCTGCTTCTTTTCTCGAATCGCCCGCGCCTTGCGATTGAGGCGGATGTTTTCGTTATACTCTGCAAGCCGCGCCTCGTTGACACCAGGGACCTGAATATCGAGGGAAATGGTGTCGGGCGGCAGTTTGTCCAACAGCGTCGACACGACGCGTTCCTTTCTGTGCCGCTCCGTCTCGTGTGGGTTGGCGTAGAAGAAGTCGGGGTTCGCGTCCCCGGCGCCAGGGATCAGCATCGACTGAAATCCGCGGGAGTGGCCGATGCCCAAGACATCCTCAAAGGGGCAAAATCGTAATTGCTGGGCAATATTGCCGTAACCAAGGCCAAACTTCATGTACGGCGCGTTGGGCTTGGCGCTGGAGAAGATGCCCTTCCACAACTGCACGTTTGTTCCACCCCCCATGGCAACAAGGCCAGAACTAGAGACATCGACGGTGTTGAAGGTGTACGTCACGGCGTACTCCTCCAGCGCCCTCAGTGTACGGCAGTCCCACACCTTAAATTTATGATCCCCGCCCAGCGTCACAAAAAAACGGCCGTTTGGATGAAATCGAATATCATCAATGACACCCTTATGACCTTTCAGTTGCACAAGCGGGTCCACCACGGCTGGGGACCAAAACTTCACCACACCACGCAGGTCACAGCTCGCTACCACCCCATTGCTGGGATTGACATCCATGCAGGAGACGGGGTCTCGCACCACCGAGGGAACCTTTGCACCCAGCTCCTGCCCCGTGCTGATGTCCATGTATTGCATCACGCTGAAACGGGTAGAGGCAGCACAGAGAAGCAAGTGCCTCGGCAGATACGCCAGTCGATCCATGTTTGCCATTTGAGAGAGAACATGCATCTCTGCGCCCTCCTTGGTGTACATGTAGACGTACTTCTTCTGCGCCAACGCCGTCATGGTGTGATCCACTAGAAATTTGGCGTCGTCGATCCGGTCCTTCAGTTGTACCTCGCCGTTTAGTGCAAAATCCTTCCAACGAATGTTTGCCACGTGCCCCCGCAGACCTGCAAGCAGAAGATGTGTACCGTTCAGGGTGAAGTCTACCTTGTACGGGCCCAGCTTATCCAACAGCAACTCATACTTCTTCTGTTGCGTTTGGAGGTCCACAGCGGCAACAATATCGTCCTGCGTGACGCGGTCCGCGACTTCGCGCTCCTCCAGCAGCAGGCCTGTGTCTGTTTTCTCCAGCTTTGTGAACAAATTGGCGCGCGCGGCACGCCTTGGGGCACGCCGCTGCAGTTTTTCCTGCCTGCGAGCCTCAGCATTCTGAAGCGCGTTGCTGTCCGTGACCCAGCGTCCGCGCAGCTGCTGCCTCTCCTCGTCTATCTTCTCCGCATGCAACTCCGCCCTGCGACGCCGCACAATCTCCTTCGTCTCCCGCGATACCGCGGCGCCCGCAGTCATTTCTGCCCGCTTGACTCCTCGCCCCTTCGCGTGTCCACCCTCTTCGCCGCTGGGCCTCTGGATGCCGCAGAACTAAAAGGCAAAATAACGACTAAATAAAAAAAAACAAGAGAAGCAAAAGGAATGCCGCACACAGAGGGAGAATACACGACACGCTTCCTCAACAGCGGGACGAACACCACAACGGCACAGAAGTGAGGGAAAGAGCGGGGTAGTGCATGCGAGACAACCACGGCGACTGGGCGCGCTGCGGAGGAGAAGCTTGTCTCCAATAGGAAGTAAAACGTAAAAAAAAAAGAAGGGATAACATTTCTCCTCCATACGGTCTTAGCGGCGGCCAAACGCAATGGTGTCTCAGCCCTCTCTACTCCCACGCCCTTCTTCGTGAATCGAGTTGCATCACTTTCATTCTGTGTTTCAGCTACTCTTTTCTTTTTTCTTGTGTGTGGGTGTTTATCTGCTCCATAAACTCGAGGGAATGTCTTTGCACACGCGTGGCTTCCATGCTCCTTTTATTTTGTGCTGCACTTTACCTCACACCATCCTTCGTGCCGCCACTAAAAGTGAAGGGAACCTCCCCCCACCCCACCCACCCACCTACACACACACACACCAGGCAACATGGGCACGCCTCTGGAAAGAGCAAACTCAAAGAGGCAGCACACAAATATAATTGCCATCTCTAATACCTGGCACCTCAGTCATCTAACAGCATCTGATCAAGCTGTTCTAAAATTGCGCGGGACTGCTCCCAGTAACGCTTGTGCAGCGCTTCTAACTTCACGTCATCGCCCACAGCTGCGGCTGCGGCTGGGGCGAGTGACAATAGCGTGTCCTTCCGCATCGGTGTGACCTTTCCGGAAGAGGGCATAGTTTGACCCGGGGCCGCACGCAGCGTGGAGTTCTTTGCTCTCGAAGAACGGTCATAGGCGGTGGAGAGCGGTGCTGCGCCTCTATTGCTCGTTCCTGCATCCCTCGTTGCTGCAACGACATGGCTCTTAGCATGTCGCGCTGAAACGCTGCGAAGCCGCGCGCCAGCAGCCGCGGCGTTGCACTTTCGCTGCGGCGATGGTGGGACAGACTGTGCGCTCTTCCGCGGCTTCGCGGCGGGCCGCGCAACCTCCACTGGCGATCGATGATGCGAGTGGTTGCAGCGGTACATGAGTGAGCGCTTCAGAAACTCCAGCATGTCTACCGCCTCCTCCGCGTTGAAGCGCTCAGGAAACTGCGGAGTTTCGCGGTGGCGGATGCGTCGGCGCATGGAACGATCTCGGCGATGCGTTGCGGATGCCGCCTCTGCCGGACGCCGTGTTTGCCCGCAATGGTAGGGTGTGCGACTATTTCTATCAGCCCTGTTGGCAGCTTGCTGCTGCCGCTGCACCCCACCGTTTTTGGGTGGCTGCGTTGAAAGAAGCCTCCCTGGCGAGCGAACGTCCTCGTCGTTGTTGTCTGTGCGGCATGGGCGTCCTGCACCATCCGAGAGGGCGTCTACCTCCGCCTCCCCGCAACCCTGGCGCATATTCACCAAGGTTGTCTCCCACCTGCTAATGCCACCCTGCGAGCCTTGCTGTTGTTCCCTCAGAAACGACAATTGACGCCGCGTTGCATGTGGCCTCGGCGACGGCTCTGCACTGTTGACATTTTTCCGTGACAGCGGCGGAGCCCGGGCCTCGGCGAGGCACGGCACCTCCGGTAAGAGTTGCTTGTACGCCATCAGTTCTCTCCGGGTCTCTATAAGCTCTAACTCTAGCTGTCTGTTTAATGCAGACATGTGCAGCAACAGCTGCTCCAATGCCTGTATGCGGTCGGCAGGATGCATCGTCGCTGATCCGCCTGCTTCATTATCTCTGTAGTGCCGCGTTTGCTGCTGCTCTGCACTGCCAGCTGGCACCCCCTGCGGCGTCTCTTCTTGTTTCTGTTGCGTTGACCGCTCCATCGCACCAACGCCATTAACCACTGGAACTTCCTTCAACTCCAACCCCCCGTTTTGGTGTGCCCTGACGCTGGCCGCGGCCACCTCGTACGGCTGCGACGCCCCCGCCGCCTCAACCAGGACGTAACTATTGAGGCCCGCCGTGTCAGCGCTTCGCGGGACTCGCACCTCGCGATGAGCATGACGAATTTGGGACCCCACCGGTCTGGCGGCCAACACATCCGTTTGTTCTCTACAACCATCGTGGGAGCCGGAGCGCCCCCGGAGGCTACGGGACGTGGCAGCCCCGCGGCATGTCGGCCGACTACCTACCGTTGGTGGGGCTCCTTTCCGCATGGGGGCGAACGTGGCCACAGAAAATAAAACACGCTTCGATGACAAAAGGAAGGAAGGAAGGACAGAAAGAGAAGGGATTGAGTTGCGCGGGCAGCTAAAGAAATCCATGTCAACCGCAGGCATATCGCGGCATGCCACACCTCCCGCTTCTTCCTTGTCTTCATCTTCCTGCTTCTTCATCCTGAATGGAGCCTGCTGTTGCGCAACGGACAAAAACACGCCTTCGTTACTCAAGGCAAACGTACATTCACACATTCGCACATAAGACAGACAACATTCATTTTTATTCCTCTTCCTCTTCTCCTCCCCATCAGTAGTGAATCTTGCGGAACCCATCCTGCAGATCCGCTCGCATTCGGATGAACTGCACCTGCTCTTCGTTGCTCATGAGCCGCAGGAGTCCCGTCTCTCGCACGCCTTTGATGTGTCCCCATGGCATCAACAGCAGGCTCGCCGTCTCCTTTAGCAGGCGAAACAGCACCTCCACCACAGCCCCACCGAGTCCTGGTGTGCTGATAATGGGGCGCATGGCCTCCATGTATGCGGTAACGTCCTGTTTGTAGATGAGGGCTCCACGGTCGGTGACGGTGAACGCTTTCAGGTGTGTCACAATCCCCCTGTAAAGGCAGACGCCAATAGTGCGCACGAAGGACGAGGGTCCTCCGTCGCCGTACAGCAGTTGTTGCATGTTCATCGTCCGCGCGCGTGCCCGCACGGCGTTCAGCACCTCGTTGGAGGCGTCCCCAGCTTTCATGCCACTCCGCCGACTTGACATGGTCAGATAATGGCTTGTCATTGAAGCCGGCTCGAGTGTTGCACCTGCGGCACCCCCCGCAGTATTTTGTCGCTGAGGCACCTGGCCATTTGAGAGTCGAACAAACTCCTTCGCCTCCTCAAACTGTCTTGTGATGTACAGGCAGAAAAGGGTGCAGGCACGCGTGCACGGCTGGGCGAACATCTCTCCCTCAGCCCCCTTTGCAACCTTCGGTCTGTAGTCGTTCCGTTTCTGGTAGTGAAGCAGGATGGACAGGGAGCGCACGATGATGGCGTTGGCGCACAGATTCAACAGCGTCTCAGCACGCTCGTCCAACGCCTCGTACGCCGACTCTTTTGCATCCTCAATCGCCGCCTCGAGACGAGGGTCAACCTGCAGGAGCGGCATGCAGCTCACCGAGATGGCGTCATTCAAACTCATCAGGGAGGACTGCACAAAAAGCAGCATGCGCAGGCCACACTGCTGCGACTCTAGCTTTGAGGGCCGCAACAACTCATCCTCCGACTCCGGCTTCACCCGCCAGTGCTCACGATCGGCGCGTAGCGACTCCACCATCTTGCGCAGTTCCTCGTCCATATAATTCCCCATATTCTCCAGTGAGGCCTTGACGAGGTCCAGGACACACGACGTGACGTCCTTTGGTGGGGCGTAGGTGCGTGTTCGCGCTACTACCTCCCTGAGTCGCTCAATGAGCTCCTTTGTCTTCTTCATGTGCGCCTCCCGCAGGTCAAACACCTCTTCCGGGACGGAGTGCAAATCTCGGGTGTATTGCTCCTCTAACATCGTGTGATAGCGCCTCAGCAGCACAAGCTCCGACTTCTGCTCCACAAAGGCGGAGCGCCCAGTAAAAATGGAGTCGGCGTACTTTTGAAGGAAGTCCGCCTCACCTTTTTCGAAGGTGTTTCGCAGCTCCTTGACGTAGTCCTGAAAGAAGCTAAATAGTCTGGCCTGGATGGTGTGGGCGTAGGTCATGGCGTCCGCCACCCGCGTGGAGGCGCGCCGCTTGGAACGCGGGGACAGACATGCCTCCGCCTCCACCATGTCTCGCTTAAAAAATTCCGCGAGTTTTAGCTGTTGGGTGACAAATGGTTTCACCACACCCTCAGTTACCTGCGCAAGCAACTGCCGCCGCGCCGAGTTTGTCGTCCCAAAAATTGTTTCCACGACAATCACGTCACGACGGGTGCGAGAAAGAAGAAAATCAAAGGTGCGATGCAGGTCATGCTCCGTGCTGTTGCGGTAGTGCTGCATAGCGGTGGGTGGCGTAGATGCCGTGGCGGCGCCACTGAGTGGTGGCTGCGGTGGAAGAGGGCTTGGCGAATACTCACTAAAAAGCGTGATGCCCATCTGATTAATTGTGCGTGCGTAAAAGGCAGAGAGCAGCGCATCATGGGAGTTGGTGATACTGTTGTAAAGCCGCGAGACGAGTTCCAGTGTCTTGAGGAGGGCACGACCGTAGGGCTGGTGCACTGCCGTGTCAGGATGATCCTTGTAGAGCTCGTTGAAGCGGTCGACAAGGTGGAAGACGTCGGCAATAAGCTCCTGCCGCACCCATCCAACGTAGAGGTCAATGTTGGACGTGCTCCCGACGACGCTTTCGAGCTCGCGGCAGAGGTGCGTCAGTCGCTGGCACCAGTCCACCTGCGCCTCCGTGCAGCTGCGTACTGCAAAGGTACGATCCAGGCCGGCCGCAACCGCAGCCGTCTCCATGCGATGCATCTTTTCCCTCCCACCACCACCATCACCAATCTTTCCATCAACAAATTTTGCAGTTGTCGCCGCTGTGGCCGCTATCCTCATCGACGCTTCGGTCTCATCGGAGTCCTGCGCCACCGTCACTACACGACGCCGTAGTTGGCGTGGCCCGCCTTGCCTAAAAGGCCCATGCGGCCGCACCGCTTCCGTTCTGCTGCTTCCGCTGAGAACACTCTCATTTTTGGCGTTACCGTTCTTGGCCTCAGTAGGGTCCCGGTTGGGCTCCGCCTCACGGCCCCGGGTGACACTCTTCCTCTCCACTTCTCCTTGGCCGCGGCTACTCTCAGCTTCCTCGCTCCTTGCCGCGGCGATATCCTCCACGCCGCTACCACCACCAGTACCGCCACCGCCGCTGCCGGCTCCGCCGTAGTACATGGGATCCGCCGGTGACACGATCCCGGCCTCCCACTTAGAGGTCACCTCCCCGCGCTGTTCTGCGCGTGCCTTGGACAAGTTCTTCAACAGCGTGTCCAACTCCGCGTGGTTCATGTGCATAAACATCTTGAAGTGTTTCAGAAGATGTGAGACGGCGCGGCCGCGCATCACCCTCGCGTTGGACTGCGCTAGGTGCTGCTCAATCCCCGCTGTCGCCGCCAGTGCGTTGCATACGCGGTTCTCGTACTCGTGCAACCTCGCCGTGGTAGCCTCCAACCCAAGTCGGATGGTTGCAAGCCGCCGTTTCTCACGTATTTCCACGCGACGACATCGAACCTCGTTGCTTTGTAAGGCGTACTCCTCCTCCTCCTGCACCTTCTCAATCTCAGCAAGCGCACACTCCAGCGTTGTGGTCAAGCGATTCACAATGGTGACATAGTCTTCGCCAGCCGCTGCGGCTTCGGGCGGCGCTTGGGTGCCGTTCTCCCCACCGTTCTTCGTGCTGCCACTGCCACCTCCGTCAATAGGCTGTTGCCACGCGCCACCACCTCCGGCAGCTGAAGCGCCAGCTGCCGTTTCTAATAGTGTTGGTGAGTTCTTCTTCCGCCGGGAGAGGAGGACAGGAAAGAGCGCACGATTTATAATGTTGTTGACAAACGTCGGCGCCGAAAAATGAATTGAGCTAAAAACCATGCGGTCCAGTGACAAACGCTCTTGCTCCGGCGACGCCGATGACTGCGGGGCCACGCATTGCTCTCCACTCGCGCCGGCGTCAAAAGCGCTGCTCACGCCATCCTTCCTCTCGCTGCTGCTACAGGCCACTGACGGTGCGCTGGCCGTTGTGCCTGCCGCCCCGCCCCGCACCACAATTTTCTTTCGCGCAGACGATGCCCCGGTGCCGCCCGCGTCCCCACCACTGCCCGCAGTACCAGCCGCGGGCGAACCTCCCGTCATGTCGCCTTTGGTTTGCCTCTTCTCTGCGTGGCGCATAAGTGCCGCCCCTAACCCTGTCGTCAACGCGAATGGGAAGGGGATGGGAGGAGTGCGTCGCTCGTACCTCCTCTATTAGTGCGCGGCGGCGTCACGGTCCCGCGCGATCGGTGAAAAAGCAATGAATAAAAGAAAGAAAAACAAAACAATGAAAAGAAGTGTGGCGGAGCAGCCACATACACACGCATCGGGTGGCGGGAGGCGAAGGAGGGCGGTGCTGACGCATGTGGCTGAAGTGTTCGTGTGTGCGATCCCCGCCCAGGCAGCCACGCATACGTACACGCACACACACGACAAAATCCACACCCGCAGCAACGCTGAAAGAGACAAGACAAGAAAAAAAAAAGTGTTAAAAATAAAGCGAACACATACACGTGAAAACATGATGTTCAGTGAGGCGCACAATGAGGATTGCTCTCCTTCTCCCCATACTTTTTTTTGTTTTGTTTTTTCATTCTCACCGTTTGTTTCATCCTGCATCGCCGTTCGGCTTTCCCCACCCCGCCCCTCTCTCCACTTATTGTTTGCGTGCGTGTGTATAGGTGGGCCTCAACTCTATCGAGTCTTCTACTGCCGTCTTCCTTCCCCAGCAGAAACACTCGTCAGGAGAATGCGTGGCTCATTCTCCTTTGCGGCCACTCTACTTCCCGTGCTTCCACCACCGCTGTTGTTGTTGCAGTTGCTGCTCATCGCGGAGTTCTTTTTTTGTCCTTCGATGCAGCTCCCTCCCTCATCCGCAACACACGCTGCCTTGTCGCCGTCTTCTCAAGCATCTCTTCAAGGCATGAGGTGGGAGGGACGTATGTCATGTGACAAACGTGGAGGAGCCACAGCTAGGCAGACACACACACACACACAGAGAGAGAGAGAGAGACGAACAAAAAACAAGCTAAACAAAATAAATAAAAAAAGAATGAAAATGCACTGCGTCGGTGTGTCGACTTATTGAAAAAAACCAACACGTGCAGCTAAACTCACTACGCCTTCTTCTTCCTCCTGCGTCTCTCCAGATTGCTGCTGTTACCGCCGCTGCCGCCGTTGCTGCTGCTGCTACCACCATCTCTATTGGGTTTATTCGTCTCCTTTGTACTGCGGGGTGCGGCTGCAGTAGGATGGGCGTCAACCTTCTTTTTCCCACCCGCATTCGCAGATGACGCTTCCCTGGAGTCGGAGCTGTTGCTTTTGATGTTCGCAGACCCTGCCATATCTTTTTGCAGCTGCCTCAATACATGCCTGCTTCGCCAGAGCTCAAGCTCCGACGCAATGATCGCGTACGGCAGCCTCACCCAGTAGTAGATGAGAATAAGCATCAACACCACTGTGATCAGCACCAACGCAGCGGCAAAGATGCCGTTAAAAAACGTCCCTGGTTGGTCATCGCGGGAAACCAAGATAAAAAATGCGGTGACGCAACGTTCCTGCAGCCCCGCCCAGTCCCGCTGCACGACAAGGTCCACGTACTGCCGCAGGGAGAGAAAAAACCCGTCGACGGTTAACCCGTAGGTGTAGTGCAAAAAGAAGAGCTGCACCCACACGCGCCAGACAAACTGCGGTATCAGCACCGCCGCGAGGATGAATGGGGCGAAGAGGACGAGGAGGATACAAGCCGAAAGGATAATAGCCCATGGCACGAGCGCAAAGGTCATGGCCCGCGTGTACAACAGGGCAAACTCTGCCAACTCCCACAGTCCAGCGCTTTCTTCTTCAAACTTTCGATCTTTTTTTCGACGTTGAATCTCCTCATAGACTTTTTGCGACTTCACATTAAAAAAGTGGGCAGCTTCCTTGTAGAATTCCGCGGCTGAATTATATTCCCCCACGTTAAACAGCACCACCCCACGCAGCGTCTCGCCGTAAAGTCTTAGGTTCAGTACGGTCTTTTCCAGAAGATACATCGCCTGTCCAGCCCAGTTACCGGCATCGGGATCCGTAGCCGACAGCGCATTCACCTCACGAATACATTCGTGCGGCAGGTTACCATGGGAATTCAGCACCGTCTCGTCGAACTTCCGCGCCACCTCCGATGCTGATTCAAATTTAGCCCATGCGGCTTTGAGACGCCGTTGTGTATTACCGCTTGGCCTCCGCTCGCCGCTTTTCTCCTCCTCCAAGATGCTGCGTGCCTCATTCAGCTCGGCGCGTGCCCTCCTCACCCACGCCTCGACCTCCGCACGCTTTGTCGAGGTCTGCAGCAGGTACGCCTTCACCCCATCGGCGCAACTCTTCTGGCCTGACTCTGCAGGATGGTTTAGAACGTCCTCTGCGGCAACAGTAATTGCGATACACGGTGCGATGCATGCAAAAAGCACTACCGCAAGCACCACCCACATTTGCCGCCACCTCCCGCAGTTGACACTGCGCTTTGGGAAGTTCCTGCCGGCGCGCATTTGCTATTCACACCCTTTGTGTTTTGCTTTAGCTTTCAAGAAGCCAACCCCTCTTCTAGCAAGGAATCCAAAAGGAACAAAAAGAGAGAGAGCGAAACGGGATGAGCAGGGTGTGGCATGCGCGGCTACACCGCCTCAGTCCGTGGTCGGGGCCGTTGGAGCCTAACGCGCCCGACCACACAGACAAAGGAGAAACAAGCAGAGGAGGGTGGGGTGGGAAAAAAGTGTCACAGCAACCAATACTCACCGTCGCACCGCAGCTGTGGTGAACTTCTTCTCCGAGCTGGTGGTGACCTTCCCGCTCTTACCGGCCCTGTACGCGGCGTCAATAATGGGCAGCAGGTCCTCCGCCTCGATGAAGAAGTTAATCTTGTTATTGTTACCCGTGCCCACGTCCACGCGGATATGGGTGTTACGGAAAAAGAGCATCAACGCAAACGGCTCCCGGTCATGGCCAAGCTCATACATCATGTTAAACTCCGGCACCTCTGTCGTCGAGACGGCGTACATGACGCAGTACTTCCGCACCTTGGGGGCAAGGGCGGCGAGAACCTCGTCCATGCGCCGCGTGGCAATAAAGTGCGGCATCAGCCCTCCACCGCTGGGGTCGTCGCCGGCCGCCGGCTGCTGCTGTGGTGGCGGCAACGACTCGTAGTGGCTGAAGCGCACCAGCACCAGCCTTTCCCCTTCGAGGACGATGTGGCGGTCCACGTCCCAGGCGGAGTGCAGGTGCTGCAGGTCGGCCATTCTCCCGTACACACCTTACGCCTGCTGCGCGGGCGTAGGCAAACACCCCCAGGTAAAAACAATAACCATTGCGAGAGAGAGAGAGAGAGAGAGGTAGG